ACAGTGACTGAAAGCCAGTCCAGGCGAGTCCGTGTTGGTTTTTGGGTGAACTGTTCCTTTAAGACTCTTTGTAAAGCGTGAGATCTGAGTGTTGAGAATCAGAACTAGTGATGCCAGATTCGCAAACGCATCATTATTGATCAAACCTGCTTGCAAAAAAGGACTGACACTGTTTGTGATTCAGTACGATTCATTCGGACAGTTCACTCACGATTCTTATGGAATCCCGTTTCTGCCACGGAATGAAAAATAAAAAAGATAATAGCAACTTTTTTCTCATAATTATGACTTTTTTTCTTGCAATTGTATCTTTATGCCTCTCATCTTTGATATCTCGCAATTCTACATTTATATCTCACAGCTGACTATATATCGCAACTTTTTATATCTTGCAACTCTGACTTTATATGAATTATATCATCATTCTCCTTCTCAGAATTGCAAGAAAAAAGTCAGAATTGTGAGATAAAATGATCACAATCACCTTGTTTATTTGATTTTTTCCCCCTGTGTAGGAAACAGGCTTTCTTAGTTTCTCACTGGATCATTTATAAGACTGATAACATAAAGAGGGCTGGATGAGGGGAATATTCACCAATAATCAACTGTAAAAATTTTTTTAAAAAATGCTTTGTATGGTTTGTCGGTGATGATGAAGCAGCTTGTGAGAGACTCTGTTCTGAAGGTGAACATGATTTATATCCATAAGAGAATCAAATCAGATCCAACTACAGGGAAACCCTGACGAAGGGCTAGAAACACAGATGTGTGTGTCTGTCTGCTGTTTGCTGCCTAATGTGTGTGTGTATGTGTGTGTGTGCTTGAATGTGTGTGTGTTACCTGTTGACTTTACAGGCTTTGTACCAGCCTCCGTATTCCCCGTACGGCGTGTTGTCTCTGTGTTTCCCCTGAACATCAGCAGATACACACAGAGTGAGAGACAGCAGATCAACACACACACACACACTCTCACACACACAGACACACACACACACACACACACGTGTGTGTTACCTGTTGACTTTACAGGCTTTGTACCAGCCTCCGTATTCCCCGTACGGCGTGTTGTCTCTGTGTTTCCCCTGAACATCAGCAGATACACACAGAGTGAGAGACAGCAGATCAACACACACACACACACTCTCACACACACAGACACACACTCACAGTCACACTCTCACACACACACACACAGAGTGAGACAGCAGATCACACACACACACACACACACCCACACACACTCTCGCACACACAGACACACATTCACAGTCACACTCTCACACACACAGGGTGAGACAGCAGATCAACACACACACACACACTCTCACACACACAGACACACACTCACAGTCACACTCTCACACACACACACACAGAGTGAGACAGCAGAGCACACACACACACACACACACCCACACACACTCTCGCACACACAGACACACATTCACAGTCACACTCTCACACACACACACACAGAGTGAGACAGCAGATCAACACACACACACACACACCTTGCTCATCTCCTCTCTCTCTTCCGCGTGCATCCAGATGGGCTTGTTTTCAGCTGGAAACAGACACACAGGTGACATCATTACCCATGATGCTCTCTGTTTTATCAGACTGGACTCAGGGTCAGTCTTTTGAACACTCATTAAATAAAGTCTGATTCATAACCACTAGATTCTCGAACCACAATGATTCATACTGAAATACTGAAGTGCATGTAATCATGTTCATGTTTTCTCTGTCAAACCTGCAGCAGCTTCATTGTGAGCATCTCTGAACGTCACTCACCATCCACCGATCCGAACTCCTTCTCGTGAGCGCGGGTCAGAATCTCTTTGTACAGGACCTCGGCTTCTTTGTATTTGCCTTGTTTGAGGAAGCAGGACGCCTGCGGAGAGACGAGAGCGTTCACTGCTGATGAAGATCATCCAACAGAGACAGATGAGTGTGTGTGAGTGTGAGAGAGTGTGTGTGTGTGTGTGTGTGTGTGAGTGAGTGAGTGTGTGCGAGTGTGTGCGCGTGTGTGTGTGAGTGAGTGTGCGTGTGCGAGTGTGTGAGTGTGTGTGAGTGTGCGTGAGTGAGTGAGTGTGTGCGCGTGTGTGTGCGTGTGCGAGTGTGAGTGAGTGTGTGCGCGTGTGTGTGAGTGAGTGTGCGCGTGTGTGTGTGTGTGAGTGAGTGTGCGCGTGTGTGTGTGTGAGTGAGTGAGTGAGTGAGTGAGTGAGTGTGTGCGTGTGCGAGTGTGTGAGTGTGTGAGTGAGTGTGTGCGCGTGTGTGTGTGAGTGAGTGTGTGCGCGCGTGTGTGTGTGTGTGTGTGACTGTGTGCGAGTGTGTGAGAGTGTGTGCGAGTGTGTGAGAGTGTGTGCGCGTGTGTGTGTGTGAGTGAGTGAGTGTGTGCGTGTGCGAGTGTGTGAGTGAGTGTGCGTGTGTGTGTGTGTGTGAGTGAGTGAGTGTGTGCGCGTGTGTGTGTGAGTGAGTGTGTGCGTGTGCGAGTGTGAGTGAGTGTGTGAGTGCATGTGAGTGAGTGAGTGAGTGTGTGCGAGTGTGTGTGTGAGTGTGCATGTTGATCTGCTGTCTCTCACTCCGTGTGTGTGTGTGCGTGTGTGTGAGTGAGTGAGTGAGTGT